TTACATTATGTTACCGTATATATATAGATATTTAGACAGAAATAAAGGGACATAAAAATTTCTAATTTTAAAATAAATAAATAAATATATTTTAAAAAAGGAATTTGGTTATGACGTAACGAGAAAAAAAAAAAGGAACGTATGTACGTATACCGGTATACGTATTATGTATATATTATCTTTAGTAATTTATTATATTTTATTTTTAAATAAAAGGACAAATTATCAATGTCGTGTTGTTTATAATCTTGAAAGATAAAAATAAACGCATAACTACTTTTAAAGTTATTTTCTCCGCTTATTTTAAGAATATGCTTATTTAGAATAAAACTTTCTCCGCTTATTTTAAGTTCTCCGCTTATTTTAATTTCTCCGCTTATTTTAAGAATAAAATAAGGAAATAAAAAGCGGAATTGGTTCACAATATAAAATGGTAAGGATGTACCAAAAAGTACCCTCAAGTACCTTTAGTACACCTCCAATTGGTAGATTATGCAAAGATGAATGTATTAAATTGCATCATTTGACCCATTTGACACCCATTTGACCATTTGACCAATTTGACCATGTCATACGAATGAATAATTCATAATAAATATGGTAATTTAAACATGTCATCCATGTCATCTGAATGTCATTTGAACAGAATGTCATCAAGATTGTAAAGATTGTTAAGTTATTCATTTTCCTAATAAATCGAATCAATACGAGAGAGCACGAGATTTTCATGATTTATGTATCGGGGAAATGTCCATAGAAAATCAAGAATTTTGATTTTTAATTAAAATAATTTCTTTTACTTTAAAAAAGGTTTAAGTCATAAGAAAAAAAAGAAATTTCTTGAGAATCACGAAGATTCAAATTTATACAGAATAAATAATAAATTGGACCAGATCGGTCGATGATCCATCTAGATTCGAGTGGGGAAACCTGGTATGGAAAAAAAAAAAAATTTTTTTTTTTTTTTTTTCCAATTAAAATTTCCCTCCAAATACAGATATTTTTTAATTGTTTTAGTTTACGTTTAACTGATTAACGTTAAATCATTTTAATTCAGTTTGTAAGTTTGATCAAATTTTAGTTTAGTGGATTTGATCATCTGATTTGAACTATTGCCTTTTGGGTGTTTTAGTCTTTTTTTTTTTTTAACTCGATTTTAAACCTATTGTATAAAGATACCATAAACAAAGTACAAAGACAATATTCTACTAAAATAGTAAATTTCTACTAAAATAGTAAAACAAGTTTTTATTACAGTTATTTGAGAACAAATTAAAAGAAATCGTTATATTATAGATAACATTTTTTAACATTGTTTACATTGTTGTTTTATAACTTTTGTAATTCGTATTTGGTTTATCAGTTTATCGAGAGTTCTTTCTTGGAAATTTTTAGCTATTTTTTTTCAAGGGAACATGTTTCATATTAATAATATTAATAATATTAATAAGATTAGTATTTCAAGAGCACTTAATTTTATGATCATGTGTATCAGACTATCAATAATTTTCATATGAAAAATATTGAAAATATTGAAAAAAAAGTTCCGTTAAAGAACCGAAAAAAGAACAATTGCAAAGGTCCGGCCGAAAAAAACAAACCAGTTTCATTTTTGTGCGCATTCATGATGTCACATGGTTGTCTCGTGCTTTGAAAATTAATGCGTTCCGCATATTTATGACACTTTGCATATGAAAAACGTAACGTACGTGATAAACACGTTTTTTGTATGACCATAACTTTATACTTTATCATTTATTATTTTAATATTATATTCATTATTATATTATATTTATTATATTTTTATTATTTTATTATTATTCACATACTACAATACTTATTATTTGTCACTTACTGCTATACTTATTATTTGTCACATTCTACTATACCGTCTCTTTTATTATTTGTCACATTTTATCACGTCCTACGTTCCTACAATCCCACTCTACTGTCTCTACCGCAGTTCCTCTAACTTAAACCTAAAATTATGAAACTTGTTATTATACTTGTTATAAATCATATCAAAGTGAGACAAATATCATTGAAAAGCTTTTTTACGCCCAATTTTTTCTTTCATTTTTACGAAAAAAGATCAATCTTGATCCCAGTAACTATTAACTTTCGTATAGAAAATCAAAAAATTTTAATATGTATATAAATATATAATGAATAATGATTAAACTTTAATTTATTATTTATTATTTTTTTTTATGGTATTACTTTAAATTACTTTTTGAATTACTTTATATTACTTTGAATTAACATTGTATTACTTTGGGGTTTACTTTGTATTACTTTTGTATTACTTTTGATTACTTTGAATTAACTGTAATACTGTATTACTTTGGATTAACTTTGGATTACTTTGAATTAACTGTAATACTGTATTACTTTGGATTTACTTTCACAACATCACGTACGACACGTACGACGGTTAAAAAAACATGCCGTGTAACAAAAAATATTTTGGATTTTTATAACAGATTAAAATTACAAACTTTTATCTTTTTCATATTTTATATATATACATTTTTTTTTTTTCGTAAAAAAAAATGATAAAACCAAAAAAGTATTAAAATGAATTGCCTAAAATACCATTTAGATTTATTTTAGTAAATTTATTATTAAAAAAAGTTATTCTAGTATATTTTATTTTAGTTTATTTTAGTTTATTTTAGTTTATTTTAGTTTATTTTAGTATATTTTAGTATGATTTAGTATGATTTAGTATGTTATAGTATATTTAGTGTTTTTAGTATATTTAGTGTTTTTAGTATATTTAGTGTTTTTAGTATGTATAGTCCACATGTATAGTCCACGTATAGAGGTATAGTATAGTGATATAGATTTACATTTTATCTAATGTAAATCTAGTAATCTGTCAAAATTATGAATTTATGATAAAAGTATTGCGAAATGATTAGGTAATGATGAAAAAATTTTAGTGCGAAAAAAAAAAACGGTTTATTTTAGATTTAGATTTTTTTTTTAAAAAAAAGAAATGATGGTTTTCTTATTTCTTTTCCCCTGATTTTTTGATTTTTGATTATTTTGTTTATTTTAAGAAATTAAAAATATATTTTTCAAACAAAAATCCGGAAAATTATTTCTTTGAGAAATGAACTACAACTTACATTGCATAACATGCATAAGTTGCATTACCCATTACCCATTTACGATTTACTGAGAGGAAAAATCATGGGCGTTTTTTTTTATTATGCATAAACCAATGATTAAAATAAATAAAAAAAAAAAGAGAGAAAGAAAAGACTAGTTTAGGAAATTTTTGATTTCAAATAAATAAATTTCTCATCTTATCATTGAATAAAAACTAAGTTTTAAGATAAAAAAAAAACTAGGTCATAAAGATGTAAACATTTATTGGATCGAAATTCTTTTAGAAGTACACATTTAGGGGAAATTTTCGAAACATTTATCAATTTTTATCAATTTTTATCTTTTATTTATCTTTTATTTATCTTTTTTTTT